GTAATAAAGCAAATTTATGTTGCAGAGGTGAACGACAGGGCCGGGAAGGGACGCCCTAGGCGAAATTTTATCGATCAAATTGGCGATATATTGAAAATAGGCAAAATCAAGAGTACCTTTAACCGACGAACGTGTCTGCGTAGGTATATGGATGTGGAGAAAGCGAGAGAGATGTGACAGGATCGTGCCAAATGGAAGTCCATAGTCTCTACCTACCCCTCTGGGTGACAGGCGTGAGTGTTTTATTTATATATATATATATATATATATATATATATATATATATATATATGTAGTTACGCCTAGAAGGCGGATTGAAATCGCCACCCGGTGCCTGTGTATACAAGAAGTTTACATCGACTATATCGGAGACCACAGTCTTTCAGGTATTTCCCGTAATCGCTTCTAACGACACGCATGAAGCAAGCTCAAGGTTTCCTTTACGCCAGTACCACACGATGCCTGTCTTGGCATAAATATCAACCTGAACTAACATGTAAGAAACATTATAACGTTTAACAAATTGTATACCGTCAGTAAAACTTTTCACATAAATATAATAAAAATATCATAACATTAGAACATTCTACGCATTTGAAATGTATACAGCCCAAGCACGTGTTTCAATATTCGTTTAGTTAAATAGAGCAATTGCGAATTAATAAATTAGTTTTATTACTGTGTGTCGAATAGCGATCATGTGGTAAGCTTTGTTCTATCGGTTACCATCCATCCATTTGCCCATCCATTACAGCCCTTATAGCCCACATCTGAACATAATCCTCTCCCATATATTACCGCATAGAAGGGATTTTATCATAGTTGTAAGGCTTAGCAGGCATTAGCTTGAATTGATATCTGCTGCCCATCTCCTGTTTAAATTTCTCTCTGCCGCATCTAACGTCACCCACATGACTGTATGGCGTAGTAGATATTCTTACGCCGCCACAATCAAATTATTAAATACTAGCTGTTCCCCGCGACTTCACCCGCGTGTTATTTGAGGTTTTCATTTTTTTGCGCAGAAACCTAATTCTTTTTCTAAAATAAAAGTAGCCTAAGTTACTCCTTGTGACATCAGCTATCTGCCTGTGAAAATCCCGTCAAAATCGGTTCAGCTGTTTCGGAGATTAGCCGGAACAAACAGACGATAGACAGACGGACACACAGACAGACAAAAACTTTAAAAATTATATTTTTTTTATTAGTATCGTATATACTTTCATATGTATTTAGTAAAAAGCTGTAATTTTGACATTACAAACAGACACTTCAATTTTATTTATTTGTATAGATGTGCATTAACTTATTTCTAAATAGTTGTACCCAATGCCTCTAAGTTCTGTCGAATACGAGAACACTCAGACTATTTAGTTTTACTTTATTTAAAATATAAAGACAGCAGCGAAACTATTTCATTATTATTGTTGGTTTTAAAAAAATATATGTTTTTAAATTTTTAGTACGTTCGTCAGCATCAAGCATAACATAACAACGACAATTGCCCAGATCTGAAAATAGTGTTACATATATCCACTTTTGCTTCCCTTTACCGCATATAGGTGTTAATCTAATTCCAACTAAATGGAATGCCAAGCGCTAAAATTGTTTTAGTGAGGCGGATATTCGGCCGACGAAGGCAATTGTCATGTTCCAATTAATATTGATTCTAACGAAGTGCCTACATCTATTTATGAAATAGGGAGTTGATTACAAAACTCGACTATCATCATCATCATTACAGCCCTTCACAAGTCCACTGCTGAACATAGGCCTCCCCCAAAGAATGCCACAAAGCACGGTCCTGAGCCACCTGCATCCATCGACTTCCTGCATGTCTTACCAGGTCGTCACTCCATCTCGTGGGGGGACGCCCTACACTTCGCCTACCGGTACGAGGTTGCCACTCGAGAACCTTTCTTCCCCATCGGTTGTCGGTTCTTCGAGCTATATGGCCGGCCCACTGCCACTTCAGCTTACTAATTCGTTGGGCTATGTCGGTTATTCTGGTTCTACTGCGGATATCCTCATTCCTAAGTTTATCACGCAGAGAAACTCCGAGCATAGCCCTCTCCATAGCTCGCTGAGCGACCTTGAGCTTCCTCATACGGCCAGCAGTGAAGGACCACGTCTCAGTTCCGTAAGTCATCACTGGCAACACGCACTGGTTGTACAATTTCGTTTTAAGGTTTTGAGGTATGTCTGACGAGAAGATGTGTCGTAGCTTCCCGAACGCTGCCCAGCCGAGTTGAATCCGTCGATTGACCTCTCGGTCGAAGTTGGACTTACCTAGTCGGACTATTTGTCCCAGGTAAACATACTCGTCAACAACTTCGAGCTTAGTGCTCCCAACAACTACCGGCATAGGTGTGACATGGACATTAAACATAATCTTTGTTTTGTCCATGTTCATCTTAAGACCTATCCGTTGGGAAACACTATTGAGGTCATTGAGCATAGTGCTTAGGCCCTCCAGCGATTCTGCCATAAGGACTATATCGTCGGCAAATCGAAGGTGAGTGATGTACTCGCCATTGATGTTGATACCGTATCCTTTCCAGTCCAGAAGCTTGAAAACGTCTTCCAATGCAGCGGTGAAGAGTTTCGGGGATATGACGTCACCCTGTCTTACACCTCTCTGCAATTGGATAGGTTTCGTACTCTGGTTCTGTACTCGGATAGCCATCGTAGCCCTACTGTACAAGCACCTCAACACTTCGATATACCGACAGTCAATTTGGCACCGCTGAAGGGACTGCAGCACCGCCCAAATTTCGACGGAATCAAAGGCTTTCTCATAGTCCACATACGCCAGACATAGTGGCAAATTGTACTCTTCGGACTTCTGTACAACTTGCCGAAGGGTATGTATGTGGTCTATGGTGCTAAAGCCCTTTCGGAAACCGGCTTGTTCGGGAGGCTGGAAGTCGTCAAGTCTGCGCGCGAGACGATTCGTAATGACTCTCGAAAACAGCACGTAGACGCGGCTCAGAAGGGAAATCGGTCTGTAGTTCTTCAAGAGAGCGTTGTCACCTTTCTTGAAGAACAAGACCACCGCACTTCTGCTCCACGCCTCCGGTGTAATGCCACCATGGAGGACGGAATTAAAGAGCTTCTGAAGGACTTCAAGTACCGGTCTTCCACCCGCTTTCAGAAGCTCCGCTGTAATTCCATCCTCGCCTGGGGCCTTACCGTTTTTAAGGTGCTGGAGAGCCATTCTAATCTCGCTCAGACTGACGTCCGGGATATCTTCGGAATAGTGTCGGATGAGACTCGCTCTTGGATCGTTACTCACACTTGCGTGTGGCTCCAACGATGACGTGTACAGCTGCCCATAGAACCTCTCAATCTCACTCAAAATCTCAGGTGTCCCGGAAACGATGCTGCCACATTCCGTCTTCAGCTTTGACAGTTGGCTCTTTCTGGCAGACAGATCTCTGGCAAAGACTTTGGAGCCTTGGTTCCGCTCTATCGCTTCTTCAATACGAGCTGTATTGAAGTTGCGTAAGTCCCGCCGCATGCATTTGGAGATCTGTCTGTTCAGATGCCTGTATGCTGTCAAGTCTGTTGAAGAATGTAGCTTCATCTCCCGTCTAACAGCCATGAGATTAAGAGTGTGATCGGAGAGTTTTTGTGTTCTTCTGCGGCGGGTCTTGCAGAACTTAGCTCCGACCGCATGGACAGTTTCCACGAGCTTGTCATTTATATCGTCCACTTCATTGCAGTCTTCTAGGCACTGAAATCGGTTTTGTAACTCGAGCTGAAAGGTTTCGGGACTTTGGAACAGAGCACGAGGGGGACGGAGCGTTGACTTCTTTAGACGAGACCTCTCCAACTTAACGTTTAGGTTCAGTGTGCCTCTAACCATTCGGTGATCGCTACCAGTTTTCACCCTCGCGATCACGGAGACATCACTGAACAGTTTTCGTCTGGTCGTCATAATGAAGTCAATCTCATTTTTTGTCGAACCGTCGGGGCTCGACCAGGTCCACTTCCTGTGGGGCCGCTTCTGGAAGAAAGAGTTCATCATAAAGAGTCCCTCTTTCTCCATGAAGTCGGCCAGCTGCTGGCCCCTTGGGTTCCGTTGCCCTATTCCAAATTTCCCTACTTTCAGCTCACCGTTCTCTCTTGTGCCTAGTTTTGCATTGAAGTCTCCCATTAACACCGTATATTGGGTTTTGGAGGAATGCATGGCTCTAGAGATATCCTCATACATTTCCTCCACCTCCTGATCGGGGTGTGCCGAGGTTGGTGCGTAAACCTGTATGACCTTCAGCGAATACCGTTTGGTGATTCTGAGTATAAGGTACGCAACCCTCGTCGACACACTCCCGATCTTTACAACGTTGTTAACGAGAGACTTGTGGACGATAAATCCGACACCTCCTTGGGACAGATGGTCGCCCTCCCGGTGATAGAGCAAGTTGCCGGATTCGAGGATTACCGTGTCCTCCCCCTCTCTTCGGACTTCGGATAATCCTATAATATGCCAGCGCAACTTGTCTATCTCTTCTTCCAGCTCCACGATCTTCTCGTCAGTCCTCAGGGTGCGTGCGTTGTACGTTGCCAGGTCGAGTCGTCTAAGGTGGCAACCGAACCTCCACCGGAGATTCTTAGCACCCCCTGCCCCGCCGTTACCATGGTCGCCACCGTAGCCAGGAATAGCGGGGCCGCCGGGGACTGGGGGCCGTCTGTTTGTTGCTTTAGTCATTGGGGGGTATTTGCCATAGTTGCCACGCTTGGCGAGCGGGTTGGCAACCGCAGTTTTTTTATTATAATTTTGGCTATTATCAGGAAGATGCTGCTGCCCATCTTCTGCCTGTTTCCCTTAGTCGCCTTTTACGACACCCACGGGAGGATATGGGGTAGTGGATATTCTTGACCGCCACTACACGGCTAAACTCGACTAATGGCTAATGAATTCTGAAAAAAAATGTACGTCTACTATAGACTGTGTATATTATTTGAAAATAAATAAAACATTTTAATGTTTTTTATATTTATCTTATTACCTTTCCTACCCTTAGGAAATGTGTGTGTGTGTGTGTGTGTGTGTGTGTGTGTGTGTGTGTATGTGTGTGTGTGTATGTGTGTGTGCACGCGAGCGTGCGTACATGTGTGCATGCGTACCTGCAGTTAATGCGTGCTTGCGCGCGTCCGTCTCTCTCAATGCTACAATATTCGTTATATTTATTTCAATCTATACAAATAAACAAAATTGATGTGTCTGTTTGTAATGTCAAAATAACAGCTTTTACTAACTGCATATGAACATATATACAATATACTAATACAAATTATTTGTCTGTCTGACTGTCTGTTTGTTCTGGCTAATCTCCGAAATGGCTGACCGAAATTGACGAGACTTTTACTGCTTATGTTATAAAGAGTAACTTAGGCTTCTTTTATTCTAGAAAAAGAATTAAGGTTCAGCGCAAAAAAATTAAAAATCCAATCGTAACAAATTACACGCAGGCGAAGTCACGTGGATCAGCTAGCCATAAATAATATTCAGTAGGATGAATTTTTTACATGTTTTTGCACTGCTAGCTGAGAGCTGACTTCTTTCCCAAAACGCCGCTTCTTAAAATCTGCTGGCCAAGGCCAAGCTACGCCACTGGGGCTATAAAAGTCGGAAGTCGTACTTTTTCGAATCCACCGTTAGATTTCTGGTGTGTATGTGAGATTCTGATCAGGCACTGGCTTATAATATTTAGAAAAAATACATTAAAACACTTTGTAAATTCTCCTAAATCGTCGATTGTAATTTTTTTTTTAAATCCTGCAATTTGTCATAAAAACACAATCAACCCACCTCACCTAGCCGAGAGTACTCGAAACAAAAGATTGATTTAAATAGTTCAAATCATAGAGCAACTCGGGCCTCTAGCGGACCGGAGAGGAGTAGCCATAGCATTTTTCCCCGATAGATAACTGTCTGTCATTTTTTGCGGGGGAAATCTACGCACATCAAAACAGTCGTCTGTCACACCAAAACAGTCGCCTGTTACTACGAAACTCAAACACGTCACTTTTGAAACAATAAACTAAACTATGCTAAAAAAAACTACTAAAAATTGTTATTTCACACACCCATAGATACATAATAATAGTATCGCTCGGTGACAATACAGACCCTGACCAGTCCCTTGACCGATCTGCATATTGTATGAGGGCGAGCGGCTTGTATTGGTATACAGATCCAAAACAACACGACCGCTATTATTGTAATTTTTAAGCTTAAAAATTAGTAAATAGCAATAGTGTGATTAAAAATTACTTATATATGAAAGTTCATCGCCATCGAAACGCCATCTTTTTGTAAATTTCACGTGGCAAATCTCTTTTTGCAGCAAAAAACTGAATAATTCAGCATTTTTGTAGGATTTCGATTTAGCCGCGCAACTAGATTTAGTCTAGTGAGCAACATCTAGTTTCTATGACGTTAGTGTTATTTGCCTTTTGGCTTTTACAGCTTCATCGTACTCAGACCTCTATAAAAAAGGGGGAATGGTGATGATAATAAGCATTTGTCCAATGTTACTTTCGTAACGGTGTTCACCTATGAGAATTTTGCGTTTCACAGATGAGTTAAATTCTCGAAGTAGCGCTGAAACATTTCCTTGAAATACTTGGAGATCGTCGGAAGTTGGCAATTTTTGTGTAGATCTGAATTTTGCTGTCCCCACCAGGCTCCGGTGACTTTGCGAATGAAGCAGTTTTGGACGACTTGGAGGCCGTACAAACGCACTCGCGTGTGCGAGTCTAGTAAGCAGTGCGACTGCGGCTAATTTTATTTTACGCATAGGACCGCGTGGACTTATACTTAGGGGAACGCTTGCGTATGGCCACTCTCCACCGATGTACCGGTGGCCCGTGTTAATGTATGCATTCAAATAGAAGAGATTAAAACTCTTAAAATTCAGTCAACAGTTCATTGATTTAAAAAAAATTGTACATTATAAGTCAGTGCAATTGCTCAATCAATAGTATATTTTAAAAAATCAAATTCTAACAGTTGACGATTCAATCGATTACCTGCCAGTTATTGTACTAACACACACGTACAAAAGCTTGCTAACAACCAACCTATAATAGAATAATTCCGATTTTTATTCGATTACCATTGAATAATTCGATTGTTTTAGCTGAAAACGCTCATCGCTTGTTTGAATAAAACCTAAAAAAAAATCTAGTAATTGAAATTCAAATATACATTTCGTATATCAAAAACACTCGTAATACAGTAAATCACATACAAGTACCTTTTTACTTTTTACAAAATAATATCTTACTAATCCTAAAAAGTTCAAAATTTCAACTTTTTTAACAATGTTTCAATTTTATGGAGAAACAGAAGATGTTAGAAATGTTGCATATTCTTCAAATGCTAATACGTGACAGTGCCTGCTCAAGCGTTAAAAAAGATGGCTTGCGAACAATTGCAACAAAGAGACGGAAGAGGAAATATTTTTTTAGACTTCAAATTGCATTCAGTTAGAAGTTTAAACATAATATGTATTGTTTGTAGATTAAAAATTTCGCGGTTAATTTATTTTTAATGTGATTTAATGCATTTAAGTCTAGATTATACAAGTGATGAAAATTTTCGGCAATATATATCTTTTCTAGTAGTAAGAATATGAATGTTAATGTTTTTAGGCCTTTTCTAAGTGAATAATTTAAATGTTAATTTTTTGGAAACTTAACTGTACAAATTACATTAATTTGTATCAAAGACTTCTATCAATAGGAGACTAAGTGTATAACGTATGGCACTTTTAGATGTATAAAGAAACAAAAGTAGTAAAGGTGCTAATAAAAACAAACTAGGCTAAACAAGGACGGAGCGAAGAGCGAAATTTGTTAGTACTTCGTGGAATTTACGCAAAACTTCACTATTATGGTCTGCAGCAACAACTTTCACCGCAAGCCTACAACTGTAATCTAACTTTTGACCAGCGTGCGAGGATTGAAGTGCTTCTATAAACACCAGGTACTGCATGTAATAGGAATATCGAATAGAAGAAATTAAATTCTCACTTAAAGTCAAATATATGTATTTCACTTCAGCTAAATTGAGTTTTCTGTTTATTTGAAAATATTTATAGCAGGTATTTTTATCATAATAATCTTATTGCAAGAACATAACTGAACTAAAGTAAGCATTTCATAAAAAGTCGAGCTATCTCGTAGATTTTTTTAGACGTTATGTTAAGATTCGCGGTCAATTTTTTGTAAAGTAAATTGACCAAAAACATTTTGACTAGTACAAATAAAGACTTATAAATCTTAAGAAAATCGAGCAGAGATTGATATACCATAATTTCTTCTCCATGTTCGATGTAAATAGACCACAGTAGTTCCTTGACGCACGTAGTATAATAATTTACAGTAATAGTTTTCATGCATATTGAACAATTATTGTTTTGAAAATTATTACTATAATTTTGGGGGCAGTTACTGATGAAGTGTTTTTTGTAGTAACTGCCCCCAAAATTATAGTAATCATTTTCATAGTTAGTACTCGTATTAGATAAAAAATAAAGCGAAATTTTTCTATATACTAACGATCCGCCCCGGCTTTGCATGAGTTATTTCTGGATCTCGACAAGTGCCACCTACCAGATCTAATTGTAACTATCAATGGACCCGCACAAATACACACGAAAAATTTCATATAAATCGGTCCAGCCTTTCTCAAGTGATGATCTTTCATACAAGCGGCAATTGATTTTTATTTATACAGATTTACCATAACACTATAGGTCATGTGGTGATGGCGTAAGCGAATTCTCCACACCATTCTGTGAAAATCGTAAGAATAAGCAACTACTAAAAAATACTAGATCAACGTCATGAAGTTATTGTGTACTCATCGATTCCTTAATACATCATCAAAATTTCAGATTATTCAAACGTCTGAAAGTGGCTGAAAACTGAATTACAAAAAAGCTTACATATATATTTAAAGGTCAAGCTAATATAAAGCGTATAAAAAAGCAGCATTAATAAAAATAATACTTAGTAAATTCTCTCACAATGACTTTTTCTCTTCTGTCAATATTCCTGTTCTTTATCTTATGACACTCATTTTATAGCTGAGAAGTTCACCGTGGGGGTAACGAAATTTAATAACGTTATATAATTAAAATTTAAATAAGTATCGATGTTTACTATGCTCAATTAAGCCATACGCTGAAGTGGCAATGGGCTGGCCATATAGCTCGAAGAACAAACAAGTAAGCGAAGTGATGAATGATGCAGGAAGTCGATGGATACAGGTAGCCCAGAACCTAACATTTTTAACAAAGCATTTGTGGGCATTCTTTGAGGAAAGACTAGCACTTGTAAAGAGCTGTTATGATGATGATGATGATGGTGATTTGCAAGATGACACATAAAGCTTAATTCAACAACGCTACAAATGGCTGACAAATGAATAAGATTTTTGATAAATGATATATCCGATGAAAATTTAATATTAAAATTTTAAATGGCTGACTACTTAATATGATTTTTGAAAATAATATATCTGATAAAAATACATTACCTAGTTTAAAAATATTTTCAAACTCTTAGTGCACGTAGAAAGAAATGTAGCGAACGAAGATACGCGTCTGCAGGGCCGACGGCTTGCAGATTACAGAATATTTCAATTAAAACCATGAGACCACGTAATAGCTATTTGAAAAAAAAAATCAACTACGGAAAGGTGCGGTAAATTTCGACCGCAAATAATAAAATACAATTAGTATTTTTTGTGAGTGATAAATTATGACATTATCTGAGATTAAAAAGGCATCCATTATAACTTTTTTAACTTTAATTATGTTTTAATCAATAGTAAAAGTGTAAAAATCATACGTTTTGTAGCATAATTTAAAGCTACAACATTCGTTACATTTTTATTTAATTTTTAAGCTAGTCTTAACACTTTCACTGTCCGATTTCCAGACACAATAGTAAGACAATAGCAGGGCCCTATATGTAGTGCACGGGACAGCGAAAGGGTTAATAAACGTTACAAGGAATTTCTAGTTGACGCCACAGCAGTTGTAATTTCACTTGCATACATTTTTGACTTAATTTTTTTTGTTTTTTTTTTATCGATAATAATTATTTATAGAATAATTATTATGATTATATATTTCTATTTTCTTGTCTGGTTAAGATGCATAAATACTTATAAAACATATAAATATATACTTAAACTTTAAAATGATAAGAATATAGAAGGATAAGATAATACTATAAACATCACTTAAGACATATTATATTACAACATATTATACTATAACATCCACTCAGACGGAAGCCGTCGGCAGAGATATACAAGCAGCCGAGGGTTAGGGAGAAAGGGCATTATTATTATAACAATAACTATTTTTAAATATTATATTATATGTTTTTATTTTAAAATATAAAAAATACACATACATGTGAAGTCTGCCAACACGTATTGGGGCAGCAGGCATCATCGCAGTCTCGAAATATTAAAATATTATGGTAATTAATTATGTAACTATAATATGATACAGATTACGAGAACAATTATTCTAATATAATTATGTTTATTCTTAAAACAGGTTCCCAAGCTTGTACTAATTTAAGATGTTGGAAAAATAAACTTTTATTTCTTTTATTTATATTATATTATTCTGAATCTTATAAAAACAACTCTAAAAATATCTTCTTTCTCACGTTATAATAACAGATTATTAATAATTTAATTTTACTTTAATTAATTAAATACAAAATATACGCGCTGAAGTAATAATACCAAACTAAAAAACCTTGGAAAAATTCAGTTCAGTTTTGAACTTAAACAGCTCTATAGCATAAGATTTAAAATGCTAACGTCGGATGCATAAAGCAAGTTTTAATAAGGAAATCAATCGCTTACTGAACTTCGTAACAACGCCCACTGTAATAAAGTTACTTATCACTTTATCGAAGTTTTACGTACTCGTTACAAAATGGTTTTCTAGGCACTGAAGACTGCACTTCAAGATTGCAATACAGTGTATAATATCAATGACAAGCTCGTGGAAGTTACTCATGCAATTGGAACTAAGTTTAGCAAGATTCGCCACAGAAAGAACCCACTAACTCTCCGATTTCACTCTTCTGCTTCACTCAATCTGCATCATACCCGTTATACCACCTAAGTTGAAGTCTGATTGGACAACATAATTTCCTGTAAAGCTCTAAAGTTCGTTGTTGAAGCCCTACGCAAGCCTCAGTAACGACCGATCTACAAGTTGCATTCAACATTAATCCGATGATATCCCAGATGTCACTATGAGCGAGATCAGTTCTATCTGAACAGATATCGCCGTAAAAACAATTCAGCCTCTAGTGGAATTACAGCTTCTGGAAGCGGATAAAAATTAATTTATAAAGTCCTTCAGAATCACAAAAGTGCTCTTGTTCTTCAAAAATACGATATAGAGTGTTGTCGCCTTTTTTTCCAGGTAACGATGATACTCGTATTACAGCGAAGCTTAAGATATCGTTTTATTCTTCAAGAAAGGCGACAATGCTCTATCGAAGAGCAACAGACCGATTTCCCTTCTGAGCCACAGCTCTGTTTTCAAGAGTCATTTCGAATCCTCCCGCATGCAGACTTGATGACATTCAATCATACCATTCACATACTCTTCGAATTGCACAGAGACCAAAGAGTACAATCTGCCACTTTTTCTTGCGTATGTGGACTATGATAAGCCTTCGATAACTCCATCGATATTTTGGTGGTGCTAAAGTCGCCTTTAGCGATGCCAGGTTAAAAGTAAAAAGGGCTAGGTGGATATCTGCCCGAGTACGGAATCGGAGTACGAAAATTATAACCCCAAAACTCTTAGCCCGGACTGGAAAGGATACGGTATCAACATATCAATGGCGAATTACTCAATTACATTACTCATCTTCGATTAGTTGCCGATATAGTTATAATAGCAGAATCGCTGGCGAATCACTATGTTTAATGATCTCAATAGTGTCTCCCATAAATGCAACATATGGTCAATAGATAAAGGTCATGCGGCAAGTTGCATGTGTGAAGTTATTGAAAACACTGCACTCGCGGTTCTTGACGAGCTTTTTTTTGCCAAAACAAATTATCCGTAAGTCAACTTCGACCGAGAGGTCAACCATTGGACCCAACTTGGTTGGGCAGTGTTCGGGAGATTGTGATACACATTCTTGTCAAACGTTCCTCAAATCGTGAAAACAATAGTGTACAACCAGTACGTGCTGTGAATAATGACATACGGAGAAGATTAAAGTTGTTCAGCGAACTATGGAGACTACAATGTCTGATAGTATTTGTGTTGAAGATAATTGCAGATTAATAGAACAGTGTAACCGACATAGTTAAATGGATTACTAAATTAAAGTGGCAATGGGCTGGCCAGGTATATGGCCCGATGAACCGACAAGCGATGGGGAAGAAAGGTTTTTAAAATGGCCGCCGAAAGCGAAATGAAGGATGGCTCCCCACAAGTTAGAATGACGATCTGGTAAGAGATGCACCCCAGGAGCTCAGGACCATGTTTTGTAGTATTGCATGGGGAGGTCTATATTTAGCAGAGAGCTTGCGAAGGATTGTAATATAATGAAGATACTTAATAATTACTTAGATAGCATACAGGTTAACGAGTTGCACAATCAAGTACACGCATTTTTATTTTCATTTTTAATTTAATATTGATCAGTTTTTAGCTTTGAATTACAACATTTATTCGTTACTCCAATTATTTTAATTTGTGTTTAGATTTTATAATATTGTGTGTAATTTTTCATTTTCAGTGTACAAATGGTTGAAAATTATAAATATATTTAATTTTGTACGAACAAATTTAACTCTGAAGCGATTACATTTATGGAACAAAGTTACATATTTAATTACATGATATATTTGGGACTAATTTATTTTCTGTTATAATATAATATTTCAAACGATTTGTAATATATGAAATTTATCTTTTATTCTCGCGGGTAAAATTGCGGGCACTTAAATAGTATTTATATGGTTTTTTCAAAATATTTTCAGTTTACGAAAGAAAATGGAAAGCTGAATAGGTAAGAAAGGAAATTCCTAAGAAATTGATTTCACTTTATTTTAACAGCTTTGCTTTTCATTATTTTAAGGCAAGACATAGCCGTTCCAGCGCATTACATACATACATAAGCAGCATTACAAAGTCATAAATCTGGGAAATTATGATTCGCCGTTGTTGGATGGGTTTTCCACCATCATTCAACGGGATCTCGTGTGTTCACTTTGCACGTATGAGGTTGACATTTAGTGAAAAAATAGGCACACTTGGGACAGTTTGCCGACTTTATATTTAAGGGATTAAGCCAAAATTTCCTAACGATAAAAGATTTATATTCAGCCTTTTTTCATTCTGAAATTCCAAAAAAAGTAGTTTATTTATAATGTGAAAACTTTTCGAAGTTTAAATCAATGAACTATTTAAAAAAATTGTCGTTAATTTTAGATTATTTTTTAAACCATACATTTTATCTAAAAATTAGATATTGAATTATCCTAAAAATTTACACTACTATCCTTATTTATACCCATCTAATTTTATCTTGTATTGTTACAGAAACAGTTCTTTAACAACACTATTAAATTAAATAAAACTAATTTTACGGATTTTATCGCGTATATTAACTTATTTTAAATTCCCGACGTTTCAAGCACTTTACAGCACCCATGGTCACGGGGGGGACTGACCCGACCATGGGTGCTGTAAAGTGCTTGAAACGTCAGGAATTTAAAATAAGTTAATATATGCGATAAAATCCGTAAAATTAGTTTTATTTAAATGTGTAGCGTTCGCGTAAATATAAGAAAAACAAAAACTATTAAATTAACTTTCTTAAATAACACTTCTGCATAATATTATTTTAAATTAATAATTCATCAAGAGCATATCAAAATTACATCCAAATTTTCAAATCAAAATGCCAACCTACCTTCTAAGAGTAATTATCTTCAAACTCAGGGAAGGTACTAAAATTTATCTTTTCTTCGCTTTTATTCGCCACTACTAATGTAAAAATAAAGAGTTGCATAAAACATTTAGTTAATTTTTTTTACGAATGTGTACCTAACAAATATTAAGAATTCATAGCTCAAGCCAGATTAGAACCGACAAATTAATCCCTTGAAAATTCGACGTAAGCTACACATTAACAAGCACGTCTCTACAGACGTACAACAAAAACCATTCGAGGTACCGTTCGTGCGTCAAGCGCGGCTCAGAATTGTGAATAAATAAAATTATAATCACTGTAGCGGATCGTAGTTATTACACCTGTTAGATCGCGCCGTGAGGCATTGCAGTGATTAGTAACGTGCAACGTCTCCTACGTCCGACGGTGCACTACCAACTACCCGGACTATCGAAAGCTGCATAGTACATAAATTATGTACTATGCAGCTTTCGATAGTCACTACAGCATAGTGATGTAACGAATGTTGGATTTTTCACATTCGCGAATGCGAATGCGATTGCGAATATTTATCTTCAACATTCGCGAATGCGAATGCGAATGAGAATATTTTAAAATTTCAAAAAAGGCGCGCGTAAAATGTTTGGCAGGTTTGACGTTTCGTGTCGGCCATGTTTAAATTGAACATAGCCGAGCCGATATTGGTTAATTGTATGAATTTAGTCACAGAAAGTTCATTCTAAAAGTTTTGTTTTGTTTTGAGGTTAGTTTTATGTTATTTATCAAATTTAACTGATATTTAAGGGACAAAGTGGCATAAAAACATGAGTAAAGCACACATCAGCGAAGTTTGGACTTATTTTACAATATATGATGCTGAAAATGTTAATTGCAAGTTGTGTGATAAAAAGTACTCGCGCAAAGGCCAGGACCACTAGTGCTATGAGAAATCACCTGGAAGCTAAACACAAAAATGAATATGAAGAATTGAAAAAAAGAGAACATGAAAAGCAAGATGCTGCTAAAATTAATTCTTTGGCGTCCTCTTCGCGACAATGTACCAAAACTGACCTTAAGCAAATGTCTTTGAGTGATTGCGTTGAAAAAAATAAAAAGTGGGATAACAACAACACCAAATCTTTGGTGCTGGATAATTTGATTGGCGAAATGATCGCACTGGAGGACTTACCATTTAGTTTTGTGGAATGTCTTGGATTTGTGAGATTGATTAACCAAGTATGCCCTTCATATAATTTAAAAAGTCGGCAATATTTTACTTCCTTCATTTGTGAGAAATTATACGGCAAGGTAAAAGATAAAATTCTGGAATTAATCAAATCATTTGAAAAATTAGCATTAACAACTGATATATGGTCTGACTCTTGCTCTGGAGTGTCGCTGATAAGTTTCACTTGTCACGGAATTACCAATAATTTTGAACGAAAAATGATTATATTGAAAGCAGAAGTATTCAATGATGGGCGACATACAGGAGAAAATATAGCGGCAAAGTTAGAAACTATGTTGTCATCATGGGGAATTCCCAAAGAAAACGTATTATGTATTGTTAGAGATGGTGGCACTAACATGAAAAAAGGTATTTCTTTATTAAGTATTAAAAACATTGATTGTTTATCGCACCAAATCCAACTTGTTGTTAAAGAAGGGCTTAAGTCACAAGAATCTATCATTGCAGCCATTAACAAATGTAAAAAGATAGCAACAAATTTTCACCACTCTAATGTAGCTCAAGATGAACTTGTTAATCTACAAGAAAAGCTTAATCAACCAAAGCTCAAGATAATCCAAGAGTGTGTTACGAGGTGGAATAGCACCTTTTACATGCTAGAACGCATTTTGAAAAACAAAGATTCGCTGTGCCTTTATGCTTCCACCAGCAACAAAATTTCACAACTAACTTCAGAAGAATGGATACTTGTGGAAAAATTGATTACATTGCTTCAACCTTTTGAAGAAATAACTCGAGAACTAAGTGCAGCCAATGTTTCCATATCATCTGTGATTCCGTTATTGGCCACTCTGGAAAAGGTGATTGACGAATATAATGCATCTGACGAGTGCATTAGGAACACTATACTTGTTTTAAAACAAGAAATGAGACACAGATTTTCTCACTTAGAAAACGACATATTATTTGCTACAGCAACGTTTATTGATCCTAGATACAAAACGAAATTCTTCAAAAATCCTTCAACAAAAGATCAAGTCATGAAAAATATTTTAGATTCACTTGGAGATGAGGACTTAAGTTTGCCGTCATGTTCAAAGCCAAAGCGTCCTAAAATAAGGAATCAGGATAATGAAAACTTGGGCTCCAGTACCAGTCTTTCAGAAAAATCTGTGACATTAAAAGAAACTATGAAAATGATGATGGACTCAAGTGAAAGCGAGGAAGAACTAGATAATGATATTCCAAATCCATTAGAAGTATTAATAAAAAAAAATATTAATGAATATGTTTTGGATAAACGTATTGAAAATGAAGAAGACCCACTTCTTTGGTGGAAAGTAAATAGCAACAAATATGGCATTCTTTCTCCAGTAGCCAGAGAATATTTGGTAACTCCGCCCACAAGTGTCCCCAGTGAAAGAGTTTTCAGTGGAGCTGGACTACTTTACACACCTCACTTAAACAGGCTGCACGGAGAAAGAGCCTCCAAACTTTTATTTTTAAAATTTAACATTCCATTGCTTCAATTTAATTATTAAGAATTAAAAATTACAACAAATTTAATAATTAAATAGTCAACATGTTATTAGAAAAACTATATTTTGTGTACCTTCTTACTTACTTATATATCATTATTTTTATACATAGATAAATAACTTGCAATTGAAACCAAATGTTAACATAACAAGTATTAGAAGTTTACTTTAGTTTAAAATAAAAATAATTATAATTTTTGTTTTTGAAAAAAGGTTTATTTACAAATAGTTAAGTATTCGTTGTTTTGGTTTTTAAGTTTATATTTCATTCATTATAAATATATTTAATTCCTCAGATATATAAAGTGGAATGAAAAAAATATACATTTAAAGCCAAAGGTTATAAATACTTAATACATTAGATATTTAAAGTTTAATAATTTTGTTTCAAGTAATTGTTTAGTTTTTTAGTAAATAGAAACTGTAAACTTTATTTAAAAATGGTAGAAAAGTAATAATATACTACTAAATAAATGCAAACCTTACATAGTTTTAACAAGGCTGATTAATGTTAGATTTGATCAGATCTCTGAAGTTCTTTTTTCATAAATGAGACTTTAATTTAGAATTTGATTTAATAAAAATATCTAAGTGTTATCTATTGTATTATTATTTCATATGCATGCATATAATAATTTCCTTTTTGATTATTAAAAACATTCGCTAAATATTAGCATAATTTTTGCGAATGCGAATGCGAATGCGAATATTGAAAAATATGCGGATATTCGCGAATGCGAATGCGAATGCGAATATCCGTTACATCACTAGTACATATGTATGTATGTACGCACGCCTACATCTACGCTTATGCACAGCTATTTACATAATATGACAAAGGATCTCCCGCCAGTGAAAAGCTCTACGTTAGGTACCGGAAAAGGTGAGTACTTTAGCGTTTATTTATAAGCAAGCTAGTAAGTACCTAGTCTTTTTTATCTACATGTTTGATAAATTTATAAATATGTGTACTCGAATAAATGCTATTTATAAATAATGCAACTGAATTATTCAATATAATTTCATCGCTCATTTTATGAATTATATACATTAAAAATTTTGTGAAATTCATAGGATTAATTCTATTTGTAAAGAATTATTATGATCAGCTGTATGTGTTAATATAACACATGATATAATTTATTAACATCTTATATGAAAATGAAAAATTTTCCCTTTCTTTTTTTTAAAACCCCGCTGGATTTCTGGCTGGTTCTTCCTAGGACTGAGGTATTTTTCCGAACCAGTGTTTAAGGCATAACTATCAATAAGCATTCTTGTAATTAATGGAATATATAAAAAATAATATTTGTGTGTTCGTATTTTATGCGCTACCATACCCTTCATCAGATTGCGGAAAATTTTGCCAACTTATTGCTTGCATTTACGCGAATATTATAGGTAGGTATAGTACAATTAACAGTAGGTAGCGCGCGTATTGTACTGACAAATTTATTTGAAAGTCATATATTATTCAATTTCAATTAATTTATCATCATTCCTAACTATGCAATATGATACTTCCAAATTTTAAAAACAGTATTTCCACAATTATTTCTTCTGCGGCAATAACGCGCCGGGTACCTACCTACCAGCTAGTATTGAATAAAAATGATGCTGTTCTATTTTATTCTATTCTTTAACGTGGCTCTCGCGTGGTTCAATAATATTTCATTGTCAGTAGTGATCAATGCTTTTATTATTATGTTCTAGTAACAAAAGATATAAAACTCATTAACCGAACAAAGAGTATAATCCGGAGACACTGTAGTGTCTCACGCCAAGTACACGTTCAACATACTGTAAGAACTGTGAGGCTACTGTGTATATATTCTCGAATCATATGTCAACATAACCTCACCAAATTTTTAACTTCATATATTTAATTATTAACGAAACGTCAACACATTATACAGTCATATATCATTTTGTTTATCAATTGTTTCCTTATAACAATAAAAATTATTTCTATCTATCAATTATTTCATACTTTTCAAGATCTCAAATTTTTGCTTGCTCACCAGGGCATAGAATCTTGTACAATATTGCTTGAAAAACGCAATTATTATTATACTAAATTTAGATGAACCAAAAGAACTAGATACGTTTGATAGACTTTAAATAGTCTATCAAACGTATGGTTTTTAGATTTTGTCGTATTATAATGTACTAGATCCATCTGTTGGCACGAGATGTCGCCTCTGTTGATATAAGAAGATAAAATTAAAACGCCCATATGGTTATGAGATTCAACAACCTATTTGACATCATTTTTAAAATGGTCGCATTGAGTTGAGTACAAATTCCTCCAATCTGACATACAGACTTAATTATTGCGTTTTTGAGAAAAAGATTCTTATATTTTTAGTGTTGTTTTAGAGACAGGGACTCTTCATCTCCTCAACATGTCTAGTGAAAAGTGTTGTGTTCCCGGCTGCATGGACTCTGGAAGTAACTATATTCCGTAATTTGATAAGATTTAAACTAAACATATTATCAAAAATCTCTTGCATTACTGCTATGCCTGGTATCCTGGTATAGACGGCTGTAGGCTGATATCCATATTAATATATTATTATAATGTAATAAATGTAAGATTGTGATTTTGAAGTTAGGCGGGCTTCCACTGGAGTGATGACCTGGTATATGATGTAGGTGGCTAAGGACCGTGCTTTGTGATTTTTATTGAAGAGGCAGGAGGCCTGTGTTTAGTCTGTAACGATAATGATGATGATTAATTGTTTGTTTTATTTAATGTCATAGTCCGTGCTTAAAAAATTTGTCACCATAATAATAGTGTACTGTAAAATATCAGATTATTCATAAATAATTTGTACTTGACACAATTGATTGTACTTGTATTAGAAAAATAATAATAAAAATATTTCTAATCTTTTAATCAGTCCAGCTTAAGTCTTATGTATTCATGACTAAATTAAATTATGTATTTAGTCTTAAAAATTGTATGTTAATAAAAACAGAGAGCCCATCACCTCATTTTGTCCCATGGGTGTTATGTTATAACAGATATGTCAAATAATCTCATGAGTTCTGTTTAGTCGGCGGTATAACCATCTCGTTTACGCCAGACGTAAAATCCAAATTGACAATGGACAAGCTGTGTCAAAGGTGTTCACGTCTAGATCTATGATTGTCAAGCCGCCTGCCAAGCATGACAGGCTCAAGTCCAGCAGTAAACTTTAATAGGCCAATAAAGAAGAAAAAGTCACAAAAAACTTGCTGTGCTCTGATAATACAAGTGTTTATTGATGGATTAATTAGCTTTTTGTTTTTCAGAAAAAGGCATTCTTCCAAGAGAATATGCAGAAACTGCCGAAATTCTCCTCTTTTTTGACAAGGTATTCGATTCTGTTAATGGCAGCTACAATAAAGAAAAAACCTCTGTAAAGCCTCTTCTTGGACCAGCAAGGCCAAACTCGGAACACAATAACATGAAATTTATAAATAAAACGTCTAATAATCATTAGAGTGTATCAACAATAAAAAAATGGGTATGGACACTACTTGGTGTATAAATTCTTTTGAAAAATTGGAAACTAAGTATGGTATTACTTCTGTTTGGATGCGGCACCTCAACCAAGACCCTATTGAAAACTTTTTTGGAACCATTAGAAGCTATGAGTGCCGCAATGTTAATCCAACACCAGTACATTTTCAGAGTGCCTACACTACACTTTTAATTAATAATATGTCCAGTGTCCATGCCTCAGGAGCTAATTGTGAAAAAGATAATTGTACGGCTTTAGAATATGTTATCATCACAGATAACTGCAAAGCTGCTGCAACCTGTGTCCTTGAAACAATCCTGGATGTATATATTATTGATATTAAAGAGAACACTGCTCCGTATATAAAGGGGGCATTAGATTATGTTAGTGGATACTTTGCTAGATGTGCTAAAAAATGTTTTTAAAAATTGTAGTGAATGTACTGCTAAAATATTCGCCTTACAAGAAAATGAAATCATTAACTTTTGGGAATATGCAGGTAAACGGTGGCTTTGCAGTCCCACTGAGTCTCTTATAGTGTGTGTATCTGCAGTGAAAGACTGCAGATACACACACTATAAAATAATAAATTCAGTATTAAAAATATTTAGATAGAGATAATGTTGAAGAATTAATAAAAATCTTGATACTAATTCATGTAGATTTTGATGTTTTGCTATGTAAAATAAAATAGTCTTGCCGCTTTTTCATATTCAATTATGTGTTGTATGTGTCACAATAATGAAGATGTGTTTCAAATGAAAGCCAAAAAATATTTCCACAAATGTATAAAAGACGTTTTATTCAATAAATCACTTAACTTTCTGAAATGAGTTTTTATTTTTACCTCAAAACCTATACTTATTGTAAGAAAAATTTCTTACATTAAGTAAAAAGAAAAAACATAAGGAAACAATAATTTAGTATAGTATAAAAGACTATATAGTACTAGACTGTATATGATAAATATAAATTGTTCCATCCGACACCACCAGACAGCAGCACATTCGTGAATTCAGTTTTGGACTTGAGATTCGTCTCTATTTCAGTATATATAAAAGTCGATAAAAGTACTCTGTGTTGCTCACTTTTCCGATTCTACAAAAGATTTTATTAATTTCGGTGGAATTTTTTTTTTTTTTTTAAAGATTGTTGACTTGAATGCTTGTCTTTTAAGCCATGTTTCATTTATTTATTTTCAAGATTTTTGGCTTGGATGCTTGTCACTTAAGCCATGTTTTCATTTATCTCAGCATTAAATAATTATAATCCTTTATAATACTACACTGCTTTACAATATGTTGAGCGTCACATTGCGCAGCCCTTTAGCAATTTCGACGGCAACTTAAGCCAGCAGATAGTTGGCAATATTATCTCAAGGCGTCTAAGCAGATAGACACCGTATCTTGAAAATATTGGTATGGCGGTAGGGATGCAACATCGCTCATAAAAAAGCGATATTAGAACCTTGATATTTTCGAAAGTGAAACATCG